AGGCACGCGCCACCATGCCCAGCTAATTTTCTGTATTTTTAGTAGAGGCGGGGTTTCACCATGTTGACCAGGATGGTCTCGATCTCTTGACCTTGTGATCCACCCGCCTTGGCCTCCCAAAGTGCTGGGATTACAGGCGTGAGCCACCGTGCCCGGCCAGAAAAGCGATTTTCTATCCAACTGGCAGCTTTTCTTAGCCCAAAACAATCAGCATGTTTTTTCTTAAGTAGATTTAAGAATGAGTAATTTGCCTTACTTTATCATGAATAGAGTAACAATTTGAATTATGATGGCAAAAACCTCTAACCTTGATTAGATGACATGAGTGGTACAGATAATAATTTGGGAGGCAGGAACAACTGTTTGGAAAAGCTAAGCTAAATACCCCTCAATTTTCATTTATATCTGAGATCTTTGAAGACAGTATCCCTAAAACGTCTCCACACTCACTATAAGCATCTTTAACAAACTTCCCTTGTCTCGTTCACCATGACTCACCTGGAGTCACACCTTTAGACAGTTTTTCCTCCATCATCCAGGGCTCTTTTCCATCCTCCAATAATGTGATCACATATGGCTTAGTAATGGAAAGACCTGCTTACAGGAAGAATATAGAATTGCTTAAGCTGCAGTCCTCTATTACGAGAGGCCATCACAAAAGAGACCACAGGAAGGGATGAAGGGTGTTCACTGACATGGAAAGATAAGCTTCAGGCAGGGCACAACAGAGCTACACATTTCCTTGGGAACATGGTACAGAAATTCAGCCACTTACTTGGGAGGATCTCCAGCAATTCAGAGTGACAAAAGAAAGGTGTCCCCTATTGGAGTGGAAGGGGTGATATCCTTACCTAGAGAGACCAGGATCTTGTAATTCTGGACCATCACATCCTTGTATAAGTCCCTTTGAGCAGAATCTAGCCATCCCCATTCTTCGTGAGAGAAGTGTATAGCTACATCACTAAATGTCACCTGAAATGGCAAATACATTTAGGTTCAACCATGGCACAGACCTCTTCTGTCACTGAAGAAGGGGTAAAATTAGGCTGGTTGTGGAAGAAATAGAACAAGATTCAGGAGTTGTGACAATGATTGGGAATGTGATCTCAGTTAAGTAATAACAGGATAGTTATATAGACAGAATTATTATATAATAAGGGGCACAGTTATGTGCTTAGGCTTATTATACAATAAGGGTGAGAGACAAATAGAGCTTTGCTTCAGTGAACTTTTTAAAAGTTACAGAATTATACAAATTTTTAAAAATCAGCATTTAACATTTGACAGCACAGAGTCAAGTATTTAGTTATATCTTTTACATTAAGTAATAGGCAAGTAATTAAAAAATGAGGCTAAAGTGATTGTTCCTCAAATCAGATACTCAGGATGATCTAATAAGGCTCACAAAAAATGGGTTCAGAAAAAAAGACATCCTTTTATTAAAGACTGATAAACATACGTTGTTATGGTTTGACTGTGTCCCTCAAAAAGCATGTATTGAACTTAATCACCATTGTAACAGTACTGAGTGGTGAGACCTTTGGAAAATGAATAGGCCTAGAGAGCTCTGCCTTCGTGAATGGATTAATGTCATCATCATGGGAGTGGGTTCCTATTTAAAAAAATTAGTCCAGGCATCCTTTTGCCTCTCTCTCTTCTCTCTGCCCATCCACCATAAAAGGACACAGCAACAGGGCCTTGCCAGATGCCTGCCCCTTGATCTCGGAGTTCCCAAGCTCCAAAACCATGAGAAGTCAATTTCTTTTCTTTCTTTTTTCTTTAAGAAAGCTAAAAGCAGGCCCCAATCTTTTCTGGCTTGTAAAATGTTTGCTGAGAAGTCTGCTATTCGTCTGATGGGATTTCCTAAATATGTAACTTTTTCCTTTTCTAGACTGCATGCAGAAAGCTCTCTAAAAAATGGCACTACATCCTCAGGAATGGTTCTTAATCAGACAGCGATGGTGGAAATGACAGATGTAGAAATCGGAATCTAGATGGCAACGATGATTGCAATTCAGGAGAAAGTTGAAACCTAACTTGAGGAATCTCAGGAATCCAGTAAAAGGAATCAAGACCTCCAGGGGAGAGAGTTCGGTGGTGGTGGCCAGGCAGGAGAACCACCAACCTCTGTTGCCCAGGCTGGAGTGCAATGGTGTGATTTTGGCTCAATGCAACCTATGCTTCCTAGGTTCAACAGATTCTCCTGTCTCAGCCTCCTGAGTAGCTGGGATTATAGGTGCCTGCCATCATGCCCGGCTACTTTTTGCATTTTTAGTAGAGACAGGGGTTTCAACATGTTGGCCAGGCTTGTCTCGAACTCCTGACCACAAGTGATCTGCCACCTCATTGCCTCAGCCTCCTAAGGTGCTGGGATGACAGGTGTGGGCCACCGGGCCCAGCCGAGAAGTCAATTCCTACTGTTTATAAATTACTCAGTCCATGGTATTCTGTTACAGCAGGAGAAATGGACTAAAATATATGCATAACTGATTCATAAAAAAGAAAAATATATTTATGGTGTATACTTAAACTCTGTATTGACAGACATTTAATAATTAAAATATGATACCCCTGGGTGAAAAGACTGAAGGATGGTTTCATGCCATTGATCAGGGGTCCTTAAACCCCAGGCCATAGACTGGTATCAGTTTGTGGCCTGTTAGGAACCAGGTCATGGCCGGGCGCGGTGGTTCATGCCTATAATCCCAGCACTTTGGGAGGCCGAGGCGGGTGGATCACGAGGTCAAGAGATTGAGACCATACTGGTCAACAGGGTGAAACCCCGTCTCTACTAAAAATACAAAAAAAAAAAATAAGCTGGGCATGGTGGCGCACACCTGTAGTCCCAGCTACTTGGGAGGCTGAGGCAGGAGAATTGCTTGAACCCAGGAGGTGGAGGCTGCAGTGAGCCGAGATTGCGCCATTGCACTCCAGCCTGGGTAACGAGCAAAACTCCGTCAAAAAAAAAAAAAAAAAAAAGAACCAGGTCACACAGCAGGAGGTGTATGTCGGCCAAGTGAGCATTACCACCAGAGCTCCGCCTCCTGTCAGATCAGCCATGGCATTAGATTCTCATAGGAGTGCCATTTCTACTGTGAACTGTGTATGCAAGGGATCGAGGCTGCACGCTCCTTATGAGAATCTAACCTGTGTCTAAGGATCTGAGGTGGAACAGTTTCGTCCCCAAACCACCACCTCCACGACCTCCCACTTCTGTGGAAAAATTGTCTTCCATGAAACCGATCCCTGATGCCAAAAAGCTTGGGGACCCCTGCCATAGATAGTCCTTACACAGGACCAGAAACTAAGAGGAAAAAATAACAGAGTATATTTCAAAGAAAATATTCTAAGGAAATACTCACAGATGTGCTTAGAAATTCCTCTCAGTAGTACTCATTTCACAGTATTTAAAATAGTAAAACTTTAGAAGCTTAAATATTCAATAATAGCTTAATCGCTAGTCAAATTATGTGCAAAAAATACATCCACTTACTACAACATTATTACGGTCTTTGATTTGTGAAACGGACTGCTCTACTGTGGTAGTTTTTTTTTTAGCTCTGAGAGTTAATTCAGTATTGTATTACTTTATTTGGATATTTTACATGCATGTTCACCAGTAACACTGGTCATTGGTTTCAAAGGCAGAATTTACTTTTGCCAGGTGTTGGGAAAATAAAATTCAAATCTCCTGCCAAGGGCAGAAAATCCTCTCCACAAATGCAGAAAAGAAAGAAAACAGTTTTATTTCTGAATAAGCATTAAATCAACTGTGATGCACTTCACGGGCAATCCAATAATGAGATTAAAACAACAGGAAGACATCTCACTCATCCTTTTGTATTGCCAAGCAGATACAATCCAATACATACGTTTTCCAAATAAACAATAACTTATCTTCAAGTAAGACTTGACAGTTCAATTTGCTACACATTATTTACCCTAAATTCACTTGTTAACTGGAATTGATACCGTGTTAATTGCCTTTATCCTAAATAAAAATAACATTTCTCATAGCTTTATGACAAACCAGTCATTACAAGTTAGAGCAGTGACGCTTCTTTCTTCCCCCACAGTTACCTGGGCAGCCTGCAGTATTCACCCAACTCTGTCCCCAAAAGAACACAGGATATCTGTCCTAGCATTTATTTTTTTTTATTTTTTTTTATTTTTTGAGACGGAGTTTCGCTCTTGTTACCCAGGCTGGAGTGCAATGGTGCGATCTCGGCTCACCGCAACCTCCGCCTCCTGGGTTCAGGCAATTCTCCTGCCTCAGCCTCCTGAGTAGCTGGGATTACAGGCACGTGCCACCATGCCCAGCTAATTTTTTGTATTTTTTTAGTAGAGACAGGGTTTCACCGTGTTGACCAGGATGGTCTCGATCTCTTGACCTCGTGATCCACCCGCCTCGGCCTCCCAAAGTGCTGGGATTACAGGCGTGAGCCACCGCGCCCGGCTGTCCTAGCATTTATTATAATTTCTAATGCTTTCTTACTTTCCTACCAGTGCTGCAATCCTCAATACAGTAGCCACTAGCCAATTTGGCTACATACATTTAAATTAATTAAAATGTAAAAATAAAAACAAAGAAAATTTAAAATTCATTTTCTCCATTGCTTAAGCCATAGTTCAAGTACTCAATAGTCATACGGGGCTGATGGCTACCATACTGACCAGTTCACATGGAGAACACTTCCACCACCGCAGAAAGTTCTCTTAGACAATACTGCACTAGATCATGGAGTCCTGTGTGTCAGTGTACACCAAAATCCATGTTCAACTTTTCCTAACAGGTATTTCATAAGTGTTTAGAAGATGAACCAATGAATGATTTTAGCATAGTTCAATTTAGCCTTTACATTTTTTTTTTTTTTTTTAAGAGACAGCGTCTTGCTCTGTCACCAGGCTGAAGTATAGTGACATAATCATAGCCCACTGCAGCTCCATACCACAGGGCTCAAGAAATCTTCCCACCTCATCAGCCTCCTGAGTAGCTGGCACAACAGGCATGTACCACCACACCAGTTTTTCAATTCTAATTATCTAATTTTTCCAAGAAAACAGACTTCACCCAGCATGTACATCTGCTACCCACATCCCCTCCTGTGCAAGCTTCACCTTCCATGCCATGATTCTGCCCCACCCGTTCTTCATTACTCCTCTTATTCACTCCACAATTACTTACTAAGCATCTATTTGGTGCCAGGTACCACTCTGGGTACTGAAGCTATAACAGTCAACAAAAAAGAAAAAATATTCCTCCCACCAGGAACAGACAAACAATGAGCACGTAAATCTACTGAACATACAGTACATCAGCTAGTGAGTGACACAGGCCGTGGAAAACGACAACGCAGCGATGGAGGAGTGGCAGTGCTAGGCGAAAGAAGGTGACTGCAATTGCAAACAGGCGTTCAGGGAAGCTCTTCTGAGAATTAACCACCGAGCAAACACACGAAGGAGATAAGAATGCAAGCTCGTGCATATGTGGGTGAAGAATATTCAGGTGGATGGCACAGCAACTGGTGACAGTGGCTGGAGCTCACAGGGATGAGGAGGCAGGGAAGGAAGGTGGGATCAGAGAGATAACAGCCTAATAGTACAAAGAGGCCACTGAAAACGTGTAGGTTGAGGAATGACAGGAATTTACATAACAATGGGATCACGGTGACAGCTGTACTGAGAAGAGACTGATGAGGGTTAAGGGCAGGTGCAGGGAATCTAGCGAGGAGGCTACCGTGATAATGCAGGTGGCTTGGATGAGGTGGAGGAGGTGGAGGTGGAGGTGGAGGTGGTAATGGGGTAACTAATGGTCAGATGCTGTACATGGTGTATAATTTAGATCCAATTAGAGGACCTGAATATGAGTTATAAGTCAAGGGGAAGAATCAAGGATGACCGCAAACATCTCTTCACTTGAGACCACATGGTACGGTTCTGACAGCCATAAAACAACCTTACATTCCAAACTTGCATTGTGAATTACAGTTTAAAAATTTTGGCAAGACTACAAAGTCTTCTAGCAAAAAACTGTAGAAAACGGGAACACTGGGTGAGAAGGACAATGAAAGAAACCATAGATCCAGTCCCTTAAATGGACTTGACTAGGTGGGAACAGGCAGGAGAAGCAAAGCAAACACACAGAGGCCTGATAAAGTGTTTCAGGGAGATTTAGGGACACACCGACTTACTTGAGACATTACTCTGCAATTTCCAACAGCCAGCAGAGTCCTCTTTCCAGGCTCTTATCTTAGAAATGGGCAGTGTCTTGAGGGCACAGAAGGGCAGGAAAAAGCAGTCAGGAAAAATCACGCTTTTATCTTGCATCACCTGTGACATCCCGTAATGGAAAAGCACCTTGGTAATCACTCTCCGGGGCGCTAATCTCTCCCTGGAAACAAACAGGTGTTTCTCCGCAAGGCGTAACAATTTACCAGGTGCCACTTGCGAGGAAAATCAATTATTCTGTACATAAAAGCCTCATAAAACAACAGTAATAACTTTATCAGCTCGTTCAATCTTCCCCACTATGCGCGATGGGCACTCACATTATTCCAGATTTCTTTTTCAAACCAACGACAAAACTGAAATTCCAAGATTCTGAACCCATTTGTTCAAGGTTACACAACTGCAAAGCGCCGGCTTCATGACTACACAACCCAAAAACAACTGTGGCTGGCGTCTGCTCTCGGGCCCACTTCTCTCTCGCAACCGCGCCAAGAGGTCGGCGCCGTCATCACCCCGTGTTTACACAGCAGGACACGAAGGCCAGAAAAAGCCAAGACCCCGGCCGGGGTCACACCGCGGGCCGACGCAGGGCCCGAGCCCCGCCGCCGCCCCCAGGACCCACACTTGCCGGAGTCCTCAGCGGGGCCTCACCGTCCCCGCAGGCGCTCCGAGCCCGCACCTCTGAGGACCTGAATCGCAGCGTCGCTGGTGAGCAGTCAACGGCCGTCCACGTCCCGGAACAACACTGCTCAGAATCGTTCCTGAGTCTAGATGCCGCCGCCAAACCTGAAGCTACCGCAGGACGGATCCTGTATGGCACCCACCGCCGAGCCACATTTCCCAGAATCCTCCGCGAGCCGGACAAAAAGTCCCGGGTGCCGCGAACAGCCGACACCGGAAGATCACACTTCCCAAGAGTCTCTGCGGCAGCGCGATCTTGGCACGCCGCAGGGAAAACCGGTCTTGGCTTCGTAGGAAACTAAACTGCCTGGGGCTGTCGACCCAGAGCCTGCCAGCTAGGACCACGCGCGAAGTGTTCTGAGCACACACACAGTCATCCTCTGTTGACCGATACACCTCCGAACCAAGGGACACCCTCTACTTTTAAGGACCAAGAAACTACACTTCCCAGAAAACTCTGCTGCCGCGCCAAGGTCTTCCGGGTGATTTGTGTGTTCACACAAACATTTCCCTCTGGGACGTGGGCAGCCCTTGCTGGTTCCGCGCAACGTTGCTAGCAGAGGGGCTCCTCTCATCCCGAAACCTTGCCGCTGCACTGTCCACCTTCTGAGCAAACAAGCTTGGGCCTCTTTTATGCGGGCACCAATCCATTCATGAGAACTCCCGCCTCATTACTTAATATCTCCTCAAAGGTCTCACCTCTTAATATTGTCACAGTGGGAATTTGGTTTCAACATATGATACAGTGGCGGAGTCAGGAGACAGACATTCAGATCATAGGGCGCCCTGAATCTTAAACAGCTTCAGCATCAACGCAAACCGGCTTTTCTTCTCCCAAGTACATATTCTAAAATGTGCAGTCGACTAGATAGATCCCAACAGCAAAAACCGCTGATTGTAAACATTGCATTATATTAAACAGGAAAGGGACAGAAGGCAGCTACGAGCTAGTGGAAGGGAGTAGGTTCAGAATTGCCTGTAATGTGTTTTCCTTTCTCCTTATTGCTGTCTTTCTCTCTCTCTGTCTCATTTACTTTCTCAATTGTCTGGCATAATATTTGTTTAAAACAGACTTGTTTATGCCGGTGATTCTATGTCACACGCCTGATTTCTCCTTGGTCTCTATTCCGGTGCCTCTATCCTTTCTGCTAACAATGCAAGTTATGGTCTTACTGGAAAAGGGGTCTCGATCCAGACCCCAAGAGAGGGTTCTTGGATCTTGTTCAGGAAGGAATTTAAGGTGAGTCACAGAGTGCAGTGAAAGAAGCAAGTTACTTAGAAACATCATTAGAGAGCAGGAGGCCCTCAGAAAGCAAGAGGAGAGACGTACTGGCTTTAAGTTTTTCTTATACAGGAGTCTTATCTATGAACAGACTAAGCTAAGCTGTGTCTATGTGTGGATGAGCAGGCAGAATGACAAAATTAATTACTGTATTCATTTAAACTAGCCTTGACATTCTAGTGTCAAGCACATCAAAGCATAACTATTCTCTTGAAAGCATATATTGTTATGGGTATTGGGACATCTGGACTCCCCACTGTTGTAGGAGTGTCCCTGTATCTATCTTCAGACTGTTTCCTCAATTATAAACACCTCATGACTATGGCTCATGACCAGCAAGGAATGTAATTTGCTAGTCTCAGAATGGAGCTGTACTTAAAATGGCATTCTCTAGCTCTCCTAGGCTCCTGCTTCACTAATGATGGAGCACCCACAAGTTAGGGGTTTAGCTTCACAATAATGCTTTTTACGAGATGGCCAGACATAGCTATTGAAACAAAAGGACTAGCCTCCATTTAAAGTTCTTCTCGCCTCTGCCCTGAGTCACATCTACTCGTCTAATGTTGCCCTCTCTCCGCTCATGAACTTAACTCATATTACAAGTATCTGAGGACTCACAGTGGGAAGCCACCATAATTCTTCCAGGGAGCTCATGAGGAAAAGCAGCAATAATGAGGAGTCTCTATGTAAGCTTTTCTGGATGGACTGAGCAGGGACATAAGTCTTAAGTGTGGTTTAAAGTGGTTCCAGAGTGGTAGGGATCCTGGTCTTGTCTGAAAATAAAATTACATCATCTCTAGAAGAGAAAGGCACTTTCATCTAAGGATATGGGAAGCTCCATGAAATCTCTTTCCAAGGAAAGACAAAGGTAACCAACAAAAAAGGAAGCAAAGCAAACTGATGGAAGAATTTAAAAATAAACTTCCCAAGGGGCCCATAAAATCTTCAGTTATTATTATCAGATACATATTATGAAGCAACTATGCCTACCATCTTAAAAACGTCTTTGAAAAACTGAAATTAAAATGTCCTAGAGAGAGAATTATGAATAGTCAGTCAATTGAAATAAATTACCCAGAATGCAACACAGAGTTTGAAGGATGGAAGTTACAGAGAATTTAAGACTCCTGGGGCGCGGTGGCTCAAGCCTGTAATCCCAGCACTTTGGGAGGCCGAGGCGGGTGGATCACGAGGTCAAGAGATCGAGACCATCCTGGTCAACATG